GTGTGTGTTAAAATAGTCAACTATCCGGGATTAAATATAAAATGATATAAATAAATGCAAACTCATTCAAACAGAGGTGCCGCTGCATCTCATTTCAACCACTGCCCACCCTGTATATATACACATCACTTGGATCTTCCTTTACCTAGCAGCGTTTTCTAGTTGCACATCATTACCCTCATACTTCGATAGACTTACTGAACAGAAACTCTTTGCCGGAAGATATGGATCCTATGTCCATCTTACTTTACGTTGTACTCCCTCTCTTAACCTTCTTCCTTCTCTCCCGATTACGCCGAAAACCTCTTCCGCCTGGTCCAAGAGGGTGGCCGCTGATCGGTAACATGTTAATGATGGACCAACTCACCCACCGTGGCCTTGCTCGCTTGGGAGAAAAATACGGTGGTCTTCTTCACCTGAAGATGGGATTTAGCCATACCGTCGCTGTCTCATCCCCCGAAATAGCCAGGCAAGTACTCCAAGTTCAAGACAACATCTTCGCCAACCGTCCGGCCACCATCGCCATTAGTTACCTAACCTACGACCGGCAAGACATGGCGTTCGCCAACTACGGTCCCTTCTGGCGTCAGATGCGTAAGCTTTGCGTCATGAAGCTGTTCAGCAGAAAGCGAGCTGAGTCATGGGACTCCGTCAGAGACGAAGTTGTCTCCATGGTCAAAATCACCGCTGCAAGCTCCGGCTCCGCTGTTAACCTTGGAGAGCTTGTTTTCGGGTTAACCCATGATATCATTTACCGAGCAGCTTTCGGGTCTATCTCTCATGAAGGAAAAGAAGAATTCATCAGAATTCTACAAGAATACACGAAGCTTTTTGGTGCTTTCAATTTGGCAGATTTTGTCCCGTGGCTGGGGTTCATCGACCCTGCTGGACTGAATACCCGCTTACCCAAGGCCAGGGCGGCTCTTGACAGATTCATTGATAAAATCATCGATGAGCACCTTGCAAAAGAGAGGAAAACCGGCGACGAGGAAGATAATGATATGGTGGATGAGATGTTGGCTTTTTACAGTGAAGAAGGAAAAGTAAACGAAGGAGAGGATTTGCAGAACGCGATCAGACTCACCCGAAACAATATCAAAGCCATTATTATGGTAAGTAATTTGTTGTTTACATTAATATATAAAAAAACAAAACAAAAGAAATTTTCAGAAAATATTTGTTTCGTATTCATTTTGTTGAATACTAACAACAAAGTCGTAAATACTTTAACTACTTCTATACGACACATAAAACAATTTTCTGTTGGTTTTGGGTTTTTATTCTATCCAATAAAAAAGTATAAAACATATCTATTTGATGTCATGTTCAATAAAAAAAATGTATTAGGTAGAATCCAAAAAGTTGTCAATATTAATTAAGTATTCGAGTTGATCACACTGGGATATGGATAGAAATTGACTAATTGATTACACATGATTACCAGTCCAACACACCAATACATACATATATATAATTATGTTCTTATCATTGGTTCAGAAATATAATTATCTGTTTCATATATCTTGAACTATATTATTACAATGCATTTGTTATATATTGATAATATCATGGTTTATATGTAGGATGTAATGTTTGGTGGCACTGAAACTGTTGCTTCTGCTATCGAATGGGCTTTAACTGAGCTAATGCACACCCCAGAATCCTTAAAACGTGCACAACAAGAGCTCGCTGATGTTGTTGGCCTTGATCGTCGTGTAGTAGAGTCAGATTTCGAGAAGCTAACTTACTTCAAATGTGTCATCAAAGAAACCTTACGTCTCCACCCTCCGATCCCTGTCCTTTTGCACCAGTCATCAGAAGCCACGTCGGTTGCTGGCTACCACATACCTAAAGGGACACGTGTCATGGTTAACGCATTCGCCATTAATCGTGATAAGAACTCATGGGAGGATCCACACACATTCAACCCATCACGTTTCTTGCAAGATGGGGCACCCGACTTTAAAGGAAGCAATTATGAGTTTCTTCCATTTGGATCTGGACGTAGATCATGTCCTGGAATGCAACTTGGATTATACGCAATGGAGATGGCAGTGGCTCACCTTCTTCATTCCTTCACATGGCAATTGCCTGATGGAATGAAACCAAGTGAGATTGACATGACTGATGTGTTT